GGGTAAATAGCAGGAAAGACTGGGTTCTTTGCAGGAAACCACACTAGGAGAAGGAAAATTCTGAATTCAAACCAGCCTGGAAAACCTGGAGGGAGGGACTCGAAGGCAGTTAATAACAGTACTGTCTGCTATTATCTGGTATCCCCTACGGCCTGCTTTCTCTCCCCAGTGGTCACACACTTGTATGTCCTGGGATTGTAAGGGTAGAAGAGGGTAGCTGCGGTTCAGAGCAAACCATTCCGCAAACCATCCCGAGCAAGGCACCTAGCTAGCTAGGTTGGGCCATCATAGATTCTTGATGGACTCCTTCTCAATGAGAAAGAAACGAGTCTGTTCTGTGACAATAAGGCCTCTGATTAGATTTCGTTTAAAAAGCATGTAGTAATTTGGCACCGAAGACCGAGTCTCACGAAATGACAGGAAGGAAATATGACATTTTAACAAATAACTTGCACAATTGTGTGACGGCTTCTGTTATTTGAGGTTTGTAAACAAGAACAGAAAACAGTGGGTCTGTTTTTGCTTTACTTAGAGTTTGAGATGAGACATTTGCGTCTGCAACTGGTACGCGACAAGAGCAAGTTTGTGGGTAAAGTACAGCATACATCATTTATTAAGATTACTCGGGTGCACAGGCTACAATAAGTAATACAGTGTTTAAAAAAAGATAGATAGATAGATAGATAGATAGATATTAACAGATTTGAGATAGATAGATAGATAGATAGATATTAACAGACTTGAGATAGTTAGATAGATAGATAGATAGATAGATAGATAGACAGATAGATAGATAGATAGATAGATAGATATTAACAGACCTGAGATAGATAAATATAGATATCTAGATAGTTATAAACAAATTTAGCTAGTTAGATATACATATTTTGAGATAGACGTGAATAGATTTTGACAGATAGATAGAGATGAACAAGTTGATATATATATATATATATATATATATATATATATATATATATATATATATACTAATAGATAAATATTGATAGCTAGATAGATATAAACAAATTGAAATAGATATACATAGATTTCGATAGACAGATAGATAGATAGATAGATAGATTTCGAAAGATAGATAGATAGATAGATAGATAGATAGATAGATATGCATAGATTTCGAAAGATAGATAGATAGATAGATAGATAGATAGATAGATAGATATGCATAGATTTCGAAAGATAGATAGATAGATAGATAGATAGATAGATAGATATGCATAGATTTCGAAAGATAGATAGATAGATAGATAGATAGATAGATAGATAGATAGATAGATAGATAGATAGATATGAGCAGATTGAAATAGACATTTAACCACCTGGGTGTGATATAACATGATGGAAAATGCGACATCCGAATACAATGGTGCATTTGAATACGTAAAAATTTCTTTCAGTTAGTATTATTAAATACTAATTTTCGTTAGAGTAAAACAAATACTTTCTAAACTTCTATGTAATAACATTCTTCCTCTGCGACAGGGAATTCCCGACAATATCCACGCAGATGAAGACTGTGGCAACAGTGTTGTGTTTATACAGACTGAACATATGACTCACGGGGAACGTTTATGCAATACAGTAAGGAACAAAGCATTTCACACCCCTCCCCGGTCTTTTGAACAGGAGTAGAGGTTTATCCCTTGTTTCCTGTTTAGGATTGGGTTTCCAGTTCCTTCTACTGTCTACACCTGTACTCTAAAATTTTATTCAATAATTATTTTTTTCTACACAGATTCGTCTATCATCCAGTTTACACTCCTTCCCGGTCTTTTGAACAGGAGTAGACATAAAGGCGTTAGTTAGATCCAGTGAGAGGACCCAAATAGTGTGAGTTCAATACCCGGTTAAGGCAGTGAAGAACTTGGAGAAGGGAATTAACAGGAGATAACTGATAACTGACTCCCATTAAACTTGGCACGTGGAACTAGAACAGTCTATCCCAGTGAGCGAAATAAAGGTTTCAGTTCGATATTCCAACCACCTGAAGAAGGCCAGAGCGTACAACGGCCGAAACCTTGTAAGAAATATGGCGACAAAGATGAGGGCAATAGTCTGAATAATGTATAGTTTAACGACCTTCACTTCTCGGTTATTTTATAAAGAAACTAACAGCCATGCCCAGCTGGTCGATCAAAAAAAGCGTTCAATTAGAATCGAGTAAAAATAGCATCCTGTTCAGATGTAACAGAGTCTATTTTCTTCAATTACTTTAAGGTACTTTCATAAAAAAGAACATTTTGAATTAATGTAGTTATTGATATAACAGAAGTCGTCTGTATTTATTCAATCCAAGTTAGCCGAGGACATGAAGGTGTAAAACAAGGCAACACGAAGACCCACTTCAGACCACAATTATTTTAGAGTTTTTGAAATGTAAAAAAGAATACATTTATGAAGCAGTTGTCTTTTTATTGAAATTGGTTAAAAGATCAACGAAAAATAAGAAAGAAAGCGCTAAAAATCGCCATTGTTCGCTATTTACGCGGAGAAAGAATATCATTTCATTCTTTCTTTCATTCTCTTTTTCGTTCTTTCTTTCTTTCATTATCTTTCATTCTTTCTTTCTTTCATTCTCTTTCATTCTTTTTTCTTTTATAATTTTTTCTTTCACTGTCTTTCCTTCCTTTTTTCTTTCTTTCACTGTCTTTCCTTCCTTTTTTCTTTCTTGAAATATCATTCTTAACTATCTGTTTTACGTTAATTAAAGGCTTAACTGTTTTTTTTAAAGTGATTGTGTTAATTCTTATAAATTAACTAAATTTCTTTCAAGTTCATTAGTTATGGAATTCAGAGGTAATATAACGAGTATAGATTTTGCATTGTCATTTATATTTTCTTTACCTTTGGAGTTTTTGTGGATTGTGTAGGCTTTTTGTTTAGCATTAATTCATATGCGTACCAGACCAAATATGAAAACATTCATAGATTAGTGAATGAACGTATACTAAGATATACATACACACACACACAGGGGTGCTTTTCTCTGTGTGCATGTGTGCGGAAGGTGTTTGAAAACGCTTTTATATTTCGAGTCTTGTTTTTTGTTTGTTTGTTTTTTTGTTTTTTTGTTTTTGTTTTTTTTGGGGGGGGTTGTCTTGAATCTTTCTTTTTTATTTTCTAGTCTTGAGCGTTTCATCTTTTCGTTGTCTTATGTCCAACCCCTTTTAACCTGCTGCAACTAAGCGTAATGCGTTAAAATGCTTGATGAGCTGCATTTGCTTTTTGTTCTCATTTTCTTTCTCCAAAGGTTCCGCGCTGCCAACTTGGACGATTCACAAGGTTAGCATTCCATTCGGCGTTTGTTTGCTTTTGCCGCCGGTAGATTCCGGAATTAAAAAGGAATTGTCCATCTTAATCTCTACCTTTTTTTCCCCCCATTCCGCGAAAGTTTTACTTCTCTACTCGTTCTCTCCAATTTGATTACTTCGTCTCTGTCTTTCTCTCTCTATCTCTCTCTCCTTCTCTCTCTCTCTTTCTCTCTTTCTCTCTCTCTCTCTCTCTCTCTTTATCTATCTATCTATCTATCTATCTATCTATCTATCTATCTAAAATTCTTATATCTGTCTACCTCATATTTCTCATCTATATTAGTCGGTTTATATCTATCTTCCTATCTATGTATGTATCTATCTCGTCACGTTATCTGTCAAACTAATTCAGATGTCTATATCTGTCCATATCAGTCTTGCTCTCTATTTATTTATCTATCAATCTAAGTTTCTATCCCTCTTTATATAAATATATATATATATGTGTGTGTGTGTATGTGTGTGTGCATGCGTGTGTGCGCACGCGTTTTTGTATGATCGTGTGTGTCTATTATTTTGTTCATATCTATCAATCTATCATTGTTTATATCTTCTCTCTCTCTCTCTCTCTCTCTCTATATATATATATATATATATATATATATATATATATATATATACCTAAAGATGTTCATATCTATCAATATATCTATCTACCTATCTATCTACCAAAATCTGTTCATATATATCTATCTCAATCTATTTATATCTACCTATTTTAATCTATATTTTGCTTTTTTCTTCCTTTACATATATATTATATATATGTAAAGAGATCTCCAAAGATTCGCTAAAAATGAACAGACATGACGAAAGAATGCCTCAAACGTAATAAAACCAAAGTTTTATCGTCAAAATCTTCATGTTATTATTATGAGGAATGAGCAAAGGATTCTTTGATTATTAAATTATATTTTTGAATCATTTTTAGAACCTTCAACATTTTGGGTAAAAATGTTTTTGTTTTTTTTGCGTTAGTGGATGACCATATATTAGTAGAGGAAATTTTAGAGTCTTTTTTATGGTGAAAAATATAGATTTGGAAATTCTTGAAAAAATCAAATAATTGGTAGATTTTAATGAAACTTTCAAGCCATATTCACAAATGAATTAAATTATTTTTTAATGATTCTTTTTTTGGAATTGGTAAAAAAAAAATTTTCTTTACATCTGTTATCCCAACATCTGCACAATTATTTAATTTTAGGAAATTTCGAGAAAGTTCTTTCTTGTTCTGCTTAATGTTCATATTAGCACTAAGCAGAAGTCCTTGGAGAGTTCTAATCATCAATTTCTTTTGGTAAAACAGGAACCTCACTTACCGAAAATCTGCTCTGAATTGTAGAATAAAAAATGCAAGAAAACTAAGACATTATTTAATTAGAAAAGCTTTTAATTACTTTTCAACGCTTTTGCATGGACAGTAGGTAGATGGATGACCGCTTGGGGAATACCAGGTGTTTTAAGCTTGGATGTGCGGGTGGTGTAATGGATAAAGGCTCGGTATTGTTAATCGGAGAGCCGAATTTCGAAACGATCACCAAAGTTAAGCAACATCCACCCAGGTCAGCACTTAGATGGGTGACCGCTTGGGGAATAACAGGTGCTGTAAGCTTGGATATGCGGTTGGTGTAATGAATAAAGGCTCGGAATTGTTAATCGGAGAGTCGAGTTCCGATACGATCACCGAAGTTAAGCAACATCCATCCAGGTCAGTACTTAGATGGGTGACCGCTTGGGGAATACCAGGTGCTGTACGCTTGGATATGCGGTTGGTGTAATGAATAAAGGCTCGGAATTGTTAATCGGAGAGTCGAGTTCCGATACGATCACTGAAATTAAGCAACATTCACCCAGGTCACCACTTGGATGGGTGACCGCTTGGGAATACCAGGTGCTGTAAGCTTGTATGTGCTGGTGGTGTAATGGATAAAGGATCGGAATTGTTAAGCGGAGAGCCGAGTTCCGAAACTATCACCGAAGTTAAGCAACATCCACCCAGGTCAGTATTTAGATGGGTGACCGCTTGGGAATACAAGGTGCTATAAGCTTGTGTGGGCTGCTGGTGTAATGGATAACGGCACAGAGTTGTTAATCGGAGAGACGAGTTCCGATACGATAATCGAAGTTAAGCAACATCCACCGAGGTCAGTAGCTAGATGGGTGACCGCTTGTGACTACCAGGTGCTGAAAGCTTGGATGTACTGGCGGTGTAATGTATAAAGACTCGGAATTGTTAATCGGAGAGCCGAGTTTCGATACGATCACCGAAGTTAAGCAACATCCACCCACGTCAGTACTTAGATGGGTGACTACTTGCAGCTGCAATAAGCTTGGCTGTGCTGGTAGTGTAATGGATAAAGTCTCGGAATTGTTAATCGGAGAGCCGAGTTTCGATACGATCACTGAAGTTAAACAACACCCACTGAGGTCAGTATCTAGATTGATGACCGCTTGGAAATACCAGGTGCTGTAAGCTTGGATGTGCGTGTGGTGTAGTGGATAAAGGCTCGGAATTGTTAAACGTAGAACCGAGTTCCAATTTCCGTTGGATTCGTTATATTCACTTACCCTTGGTAAAGGTATGAATCCAACTCTTCTTCCTCAACTATGGGTTAATTAGTAACAGTTTTATCACTAAACCATTATTATCTCTCCTACCTCCCCAAAAAACAACCTTACAATCTAAAAATATTTTCCGGTTTTAAATAATCTGCAAAGAATTGATTAGTCGTAAAAAACGAATTATTCAATCAATAACTTTTTATTTGAAGTTGTGTGGAACGTCAACATCTTTTTTTCTGTCGTTATTTTTTCCTTCGAGTCACAAGTGCTATCCATTTTAGTTGTTGCTGTTATTGAAGTTCTTTAATTATGTGGTCTATGTCATTTGCTTCATTTTTTTATGATTGTGTAGCGCCGGTCCACAAGGTCCGAAAAAAGATGATAAGAACTTCATAAAGAAAGAATAAAAATTAAAAAAAAAACGTCATAAAACTGAGGTGAAAAATGGCGTAATATCAAACTTTGTAAAGGAAAGATTTTTAAAAATGAGAAGAATGAAAGTAACCGACGACAGAAAGAAATAAGGATTTTTTTTTTTGGGGGGGCTGTTGTTGTTGTTTTTGTTTATTTATTTATTTATTTATTTTCTATTTATGTTATTATTTATCGAGATGTTCGCGTTTACCAGAAGCACGTAAATTGTATAAAGTATAAAAGAAAGAAAGAAAGAAAGAAAGAAAGAAAGAAAGAAAGAAAGAAAGAAAAACTGAAATATAAAACTACTACTAAAGAAAGAAAGAAGACGAAATATAAATCTACTAGAAAAACAGAAATGGAAACATAAAACTACTAAAAAAGAAAGAAGTCGAAACATAAAACTACCAGAAAAAAAAGAAAGAAAGAAAGAAGTCGAAACATAAAACTACCACAAAAAAAGAAAGAAAGAAGTTGAAATATAAAACTACTAAAAAAAGAAAGAAAGAAAGAAGTTGAAACATAAAACTACTAAAAAAGAAAGAAAGAAAGACTTCGAAACATAAAACTGCCGCAAAAGAAGAAAGAATAAAGAAGTCGAAACATAAGACTACCACAAAAAAAGAAAGAAAGAATGAATAAAGTTGAAACATAAAACTACTAAAAAAGAAAGAAAGAAGTCGAAACATAAAACTACTACAAAAAAAAGAAAGAAAGAAAGAATAAAATTGAAACATAAAACTACTAAAAAAGAAAGAAAGAAAGAAGTCAAAACATAAAACTACTAAAAAAGAAAGAAAGAAAGAATAAAGAAGTCGAAACATAAGACTACCACAAAAAAAATGAAAGAAAGAAAGAAGTCGAAACATAAAACTACTAAAAAAAAAAGAAAGAAGTTGAAACATAAAACTACTAAAAAAGAAAGAAAGACTTCGAAACATAAAACTGCCGCAAAAGAAAGAAAGAAAGAATAAAGAAGTCGAAACATAAGACTACCACAAAAGAAAGAAAGAAAGAAAGAAAGAAAGAAAGAAAGAAAGAAAGAATAAAGTTGAAACATAAAACTACTAAAAATGAAAGAAAGAAAGAAGTAAAAATAATAAAACTACCACAAAAGAAAGAAAGAAAGAAAGAAAGAAAGAAAGAATAAAGTTGAAACATAAAACTACTAAAAAAGAAAGAAAGAAGTGGAAAGTTGATGGGTAAACGGAAATTTTGAATGGAAATTTTTTTTTATTTTACGCCTAATGAGAATTCTTCAAAGTCGATTAAAATGTGTTCATTGTTTTCTTTTTTGATTTGGGTAAAACATTTATATTACTCCAAAGAGTTAGTATTAGCAAACGATAATACTGGTAGTACTAATTATTAGTAATGAGAATAAAGTAACAGTATATCCCAATAGAAACTATCGTACGCGAAAAGTCATGGTCCCATAAAAGGAAAAAAAAAATAGAATCACTTTGTATTTTTTTTAAATCAAAATAGGACAAAAAGCGGCAAAAAATGCGTCTTAAAAATAAAATTGGCCTTAAAATGTAAAAGCTGCTTAAAAAATAAAAGTTGCCGATAAAATGAGAGTTGCCTAAAACTGAGATAAAAATTATCTTCAGTGTCGTAGAAAAATAAAATAAGCCTAAAAATTAAATGTGTCTTAATAAAAGCTGCCTGAAAATAAAAGTTGCATAGAAAATAAAGCTAGCCCAAAAAATAAAAGCCGCTAAAAAAAATAAGTGGTATAAATATTAAGTACCTTTAAAAATAAAATTTGCCTTCAAATCAAAAGTTTCTTAAATTGGCTTAAAAATAAAAGTTGTGTAAAAATTATAAGTTTCTTAAGTTGGCTTAAAAATAAAATTTGCCTAAAAATTAAAAGTTCCTTGAGTTGGCTTAAAATGAAAGTTGCCTAAAAATTAAAAGTTTAAGTTAGCTTAAAAATAAAATTTGCATAAAAATTAAGTTTCTTAAGTTGACTTAAAAATAAAATTTGCCTACAAATCAAGTTTCTTAAGTTGCTTTAAAAATAAATTTGCCTAAAAATTAAAACTGTGTTTAAAATTAATATTGGCTAAAAATAAAGGTAGCCGATAAATGAAAGTTGTCTAAAAAAAGGGGGGGTTAAAAATTGAAATGCCTAAAGATTAAAAATGTCACAAAAAATTTTTAAAAAACTGTCTAAAAAGAAAAGTTATCAAAAAATAATTGTTGTTTCTTTTGAAAAAAAAAATTTTGTTTCTTTTGAAAAAAAAAATTGTTTCTTTTGAAACAACAATTATTTTTTGATAATTTTTCTTTTTAGGTGGTTTTTACATTTTAAGGCCAATTTTATTTTTAAGGTCAATTTTATTTTTAAGGCCAATTTTATTTTTAAGGTCAATTTTATTTTTAAGGCCAATTTTATTTTTAAGATTGATTTTTGGATTCCGTTTTTTCTTTAAGCTACTTTCTTAAAGCAATATTTAAAATAAATGTTGCCTAAAAAATTAAAGATTACCGAGTAAATGAATGCTCCATAAAAAATAAAAGCGGCTTAAAATATATAAATGTCTTAAAAGGTAAAACCGACTAAAAATTAAAAATTTACAAATACGCACAAATAAAATCAAAGCTAATCGTCCAGACACAGTGATCAAAGACCACAAGAACGAAATGTGCTTTCTTATTGATATTGCAGTCCCTGCAGACTGCAATGTATCTTTGAAGATCTTCAAAAAGCTATCAAAATACAAGGACCTTGAAATCGAAATCTCAAAAATGTGGCACATGGGAACATCAAAAATTCCTGTTCTAGTTGGAGCCCTCGGATTGATTGGAAAAGATACCAATAGACTCATTGAAGGGATTCCTGGAAGTCCATGCCTTAAAGAAGTACAAAAAAAATGTTCTCACGAGTACAGCCCACATTTACGAAGGGCTTTATCTATGTAAAATATGTATTTTTTGTTTTGTACCTTTCTTAATTGGTCATTGGAAAATGTCATGATGCCATTTCTGACCTTAGGTATCTAGTTGGAACCCAGAAAGAAATGTGTACACACCAGAAAGGAAATAAAATAATAATAATCATCATTTCGTACACATTCTGTTTGGAAAACAATAGCTGATATGCTAAGTGAAAATAAAAGTCATGATAATTGAAGAAAAAACGAAAGAAAGAAAAAAAGAAAGAAAAAAAGAAACATATATATGTTGAACCATGTATTCGGTAAACTTTATTAGAAAAAAAATTACAACAGTCATGAATATTCAAGACGGCAATTGGTGTATTTGGTAGAAAAGAGTATTTATAATCGTACTAAGATTTAATTTTAAACGGCTAATCAACACTTCGCGGGTTATTTAAGTCCAGAAAATATTTTTAAATTGTAAAAATAGCTGGTGGGGAAGAGGTGGATTCATGCCTTTCTTAATGATTATTTGCACGTAATTGATTATAACGAACCCAACTGGAATTAGAACTCGGCTTTCGGATTTCCAATGCCGATTCGTTTTCCATTACACAGCACGACGTTATATGCCTGTAAGTTCATTATACCAAAGCTTACAACGCCTGGTATTCCTAAGCTGTCAACAATCTACGTTGCTTAACTTCGGTGATCGTAAGAAAGTTTCTATGATGTGTATTAGTAATGAGATTTTTTTAATGCCATGTCCCTTCCAGAAAGTAGACGACTATAGCTCGCCACATTACTTTTCCCTCGCCCTGAGTGGCAGCCAATCTAGGATATAGACAGCTCTGAAATCAAAACCATGGAGAAAGCAATCAAGTAAGATGGAATCTCACATTGTCTCCAATGATTTTATTTTTATTTGGCTTTTATTTTTATTTTTTGCATTTTTTATTTTTATTGTTATTTTTGTTCAATTTTTTACTTTATTTTTATTTTTGTTTTTTATTTTTATTTCTGTATTTATTTATTTCTATTTTTGTTATTTTTATTTTATTTTTGTTTTTATTTTTGTTTTCGTTTTTATTTTTGCTTTTGCTTTTATTGTTATTTTCATTTTTGCTTTATTTTCTACTTTTAATTTATTTTTGTTTTTATTTTATTTCTGTTTTTATTTATTTTTGTTTTCAATTTTGTTATTATTTTATTGTATTTTTATTTATATTTATATTTTTAACTTTGTTCTTACTTTTATTTTTGTTTCTATTTTTCTGTCCTAATTTATATTTTTGTTTCTGTTTTGATATTTTTTCTTTTTTTTTGGTTTTTAGTTTTGCATTTCTTTGTTTTGATTTTGTTTTATCTTTATTTTTGTTTTCGTTTTTATTTTTGCTTTTATTTTTTATTGTTATTTTCGTTTTTATTTTATTTTCATTTTTTGTTTTTATTTTTACTTTTATTTAAATATTTATTTTTGTTTTTATTTTTGTTATTATTTTTTATTTTTGTCTTAACTTCGTTGATATTTGTATTTTTGTTTTTATTTGTAGTTTTTGTTTTTATTTTTTGTCTAAACTTACAAAACCTTATTTTTGTTGCATTTAATTTTTGTTTTTATTTCTATTTTTAATTTTTTTCTTTTTTTTTACATTTTTTCTATTTTTATTTTTGTTTTCATTTGTGTTTTCATTTTTGTATTTGTACTTATTTCTTATCATTATACTTATTTTCTATTGCTTCTATTCAACGCAACGTCACACATATACATTGCTCCGAAATAAAAACGGAAGTACACACGGCGCACGCGTCCATGCCGTACTTTAACGCCTGCTCGTTGTCCCTGGGGTACAAAAAGGGTCAGATGAACAAATGAACACAAATCAAGTATCAAAATACTTTTGGTTATTGGGTACTTTTAATAAATGAATGAATTAAATGCAAGAGAGTGGATGAAAAGAAAGAAAGAAAGAAAGAAAGAAAGAAAGAAAGAAAGAAAGAAAGAAGGAGCAGCAAAGAAAGTGAGGCAAAAGGAAGGAAGGAAGGAAGGAAGGAAGGAAGGAAGGAAGGAAGGAAGGAAGGAAGGGGATAACTATATGAAGCATGAAAACATTGAAAAAGAAAGAAAGAAAGAAAGAAAGAAAGAAAGAAAGAAAGAAAGGGGACAGCAAAGATAGTGAGACAAAAGAAAGTAAGGAAGGAAGGAAGGAAGGAAGGAAGGAAGGAAGGAAGGGGATAACTATATGAAACATGAAAACATTAAGAAAGAAAGAAAGAAAGAAAGAAAGAAAGAAAGAAAGAAAGAAAGAAAGAAAGAAAGGGGAGATAAGTAAGCGAGTCATGAATCCTTCAGAACGAAAGAAAGTCGAGAGGTAAGAAAGAAAGAAAGAAAGAAAGAAAGAAAGAAAGAAAGAAAGAAAGAAAGAAAGTGAATAAGAAAGAAAGAAAGACAATAAAAAATAGTAAGGCAAAGAAAGAAGGGAAAAACAGAAAACAAAGGAAAGTAAGCAGATATAAAAGAATAAAGCAAAATAAATAAAAATGCTAATCACGAAAACGTTATAACAAAAAATAGAAAATGACTGAAAAAAGAAAGATAGAAAGAAAATGAGGAAAAAAGTGGTTGCCATATTAGAGAGGACATGTGAAATAAAAAGGAATAGAAGATTTTACAGAAAGAAAGAAAGAAAGAAAGAAAGAAAGAAAGAAAGAAAGAAAGAAAAACATGGACATCAGCATAAGTGGCCGATGTTGGCAGGCCCTCTCCTTTTGGGAGATAAAAAGAAGAGAAGAATGATATTATATGGAGGAAAAATAAATAGAGAAAAACAGGAAAACGAAAATAAAAATATCAGATTTAATTGGTTTGTACAAAAATTAGAGATCTGACACAAATAAATGAACTTAGTTGTTTAGCTTAATAGATAAGGGAAGTACTTCACTTTACTTCTTTGGTATGGAATTCTGAGCTTGTTAAACTCTACTCAGTTTATTACAATATTTTATCCTAAAATTATTTTTCAAACACAAGTACCCCAATTGAGATAGAAAGATATGAAGAGAATGAGATAGATAGATAATGAAGAGACGTGTATAGATAGATAGATAGATAGATAGATAGATAGATAGATAGATAGATAATGAAGAGGCGTGGATAGATAGATAGATAGATAGATAGATAGATAGATAGATAGATAGATAGATAGATAGATAGATAGATAGATAATGAAGAGACATAGATAGATAGATAATGAAGAGACATGTAGAGATAGATAGATAGATAGATAGATAGATAGATAATGAAGATAGATGATGAGACATGACAGATAGATAGATAGATAGATAGATAGATAGATAATGAAGAGACATGTACAGATAGATAGATAGATACATACATACATACATAATGAAGAGACATAGATAGATAGATAGATAGATAGATAGATAGATAGATAGATAGATAGATAGATAGATAATGAAGGGACATGTACAGATAGATAGATAGATAGATAGATAGATAGATAGATAGATAGATAGATAGATAGATAGATGAAGGGACAGATACAGATAGATAGATAATGAAGGGACATGTACAGATAGATAGATAGATAGATAGATAGATAGATAGATAGATAGATAGATAGAAGTACAACAAACTAGTCTATAGGCGAAAAAAAATGAAGTTTCCAAGAAAGAACGTCGAGAAGTATAAAGAAAAAAAGGACAAATGAAAGAAAGTTGAAAAAGATAACAATGTATGAAAAAGATAGAAAGCAAGCCAAAATGGCTATAAGCAGAAAAAAAATATCTATGAATGAAGCCAGTAAAAAAGAGGACAAAAAATTTAGGCTATAAAGCAAAAAATAAAATAAAATAAAAAAGGCAAGCTTAAATTCGTTAAATACCACAACGGTCACTGTCTTCAATTCTTTTGTTCTGGGATTCAAGTTTTTGCTGATGAGGATTAAAACGACAACAAAATTCGTTTTGGTTCTTTTCATTGTTTCTTTCTTTTTTTTTTCTCTTTTCATTGAATTTTTTAAGCTTGTCTCTCACAATTCATTTTCACGGCTTATATTATTAAGGATTGTCGCAAGAAATCTGCAAAGGCGGTGAGGTTCGTAATCGCTGAGGAAAAAAAAATAAAACTAAACAAAAAACCGAGACAAAAATTTTGTCTTACGAAGATGGAAGTTGATGTGTTTATTGGACACCCAGTTTTGAAGTTAGTAAGCGATTACAACTGTAGTGAGTTCAGTCCTCACAGTGTGCTCTATGTTTTGGGCCCTCTGCTAAAATGAAGCATTTTTCCTGTGTGGAACTGAACGATCATCGCTCTTTTGTAGCTCTCAGCATGTCTTATCCCTTCGACACGTATCCCACTTCCCATTCCATCATCTTTTCACATAATCTCAGCAGGTAGCTGACCTGATGTCGTCCCCTGCTCTTGTGAATGTCAAATAAAACTTACAAAATCTATATTAATAAAATAAAAAAAAATGACTAGATTCTCTGTCCGCCTGAGATATTGCATTCACTTATGTAATGTGCAGGCACATGCCTGGGTTATGCAGAAGTGATATTCACAAACCCACGCACACTGCAATTGCACACAATTTGATTGAGTTTAAAATAATACGCTCTTCTCACACTGAGGCAGATATGGTTTGTTCTGATTCGATCCTTTAGTTATTTGGTTTGGTTTGGTTTCTTTTACTGCATATCAACATCTCAATGGGTTATTTAATGCCGACAAGATTTTTATTGCTGGTAATATTTTTATAATTTAACATAATATTATTTTTGGTTTTAAGTCAAGTACGGCGCCTTTCTTAAGGATGTTCATCTTTACATCAAGAAACTGATTCGATCCTTTAGTTGCTTGGTTGGATTTGGTTTGTCTTACGGCATATCAACATCTCAATGGGTTATTTAATGCCGACAAGATTTTTATTGCTGGTAATATTTTATAATTTAACATAATATTATTTTTGGTTTTAAGTCAAGTACGGCGCCTTTCTTAAGGATGTTCATCTTTACATCAAGAAACTGATTCGATCCTTTACTTGTTCGGTTTGGTTTGTTTTACGGCATATCAACATCTCAATGGGTTATTTAATGCCGACAAGATTTTATTGCTGGTAATATTTTTATAATTTAACATAATATTATTTTTGGTTTTAAGTCAAGTACGGCGCCTTTCTTAAGGATGTTCATCTTTACATCAAGAAACTGATTCGATCCTTTAGTTGCTTGGTTGGATTTGGTTTGTCTTACGGCATATCAACATCTCAATGGGTTATTTAATGCCGACAAGATTTTTATTGCTGGTAATATTTTTATAATTTAACATAATATTATTTTTGGTTTTAAGTCAAGTACGGCGCCTTTCTTAAGGATGTTCATCTTTACATCAAGAAACTGATTCGATCCTTTACTTGTTCGGTTTGGTTTGTTTTACGGCATATCAACATCTCAATGGGTTATTTAATGCCGACAAGATTTTTATTGCTGGTAATATTTTTATAATTTAACATAATATTATTTTTGGTTTTAAGTCAAGTACGGCGCCTTTCTTAAGGATGTTCATCTTTACATCAAGAAACTGATTCGATCCTTTACTTGTTCGGTTTGGTTTGTCTTACGGCATATCAACATCTCAATGGGTTATTTAATGCCGACAAGATTTTTATTGCTGGTAATATTTTTATAATTTAACATAATATTATTTTTGGTTTTAAGTCAAGTACGGCGCCTTTCTTAAGGATGTTCATCTTTACATCAAGAAACTGATTCGATCCTTTAGTTGTTTGGTTTGGTTTGTTTTACGGCATATCAACATCTCAATGGGTTATTTAATGCCGACAAGATTTTTATTGCTGGTAATATTTTTATAATTTAACATAATATTATTTTTGGTTTTAAGTCAAGTACGGCGCCTTTCTTAAGGATGTTCATCTTTACATCAAGAAACTGATTCGATCCTTTAGTTGCTTGGTTGGATTTGGTTTGTCTTACGGCATATCAACATCTCAATGGGTTATTTAATGCCGACAAGATTTTTATTGCTGGTAATATTTTTATAATTTAAATAATATTATTTTTGGTTTTAAGTCAAGTACGGCGCCTTTCTTAAGGATGTTCATCTTTACATCAAGAAACTTATTCAATCCTTTAGTTGTTTAGCTTGTTTTGTTTTACGGCATATCAACATCTCAATGGGTTATTTAATTCCGACAAGATTTTTATTGCTGGTAATATTTTTATGATTTCACATAATATTATTTTTGGTTTTAAGTCAAGAACGGCGCCTTTCTTAAGGATGTTCATCTTTACACCAAGAAACTGATTCGATCCTTTAGTTGCTTGGTTGGATTTGGTTTGTCTTACGGCATATCAACATCTCAATGGGTTATTTAATGCCGACAAGATTTTTATTGCTGGTAATATTTTTATAATTTAACATAATATTATTTTTGGTTTTAAGTCAAGTACGGCGCCTTTCTTAAGGATGTTCATCTTTACATCAAGAAACTGATTCGATCCTTTAGTTGTTTGGTTTGGTTTGTTTCACGGCATATCAACATCTCAATGGGTTATTTAATGCCGACAAGATTTTTATTGCTGGTAATATTTTTATAATTTAACATAATATTATTTTTGGTTTTAAGTCAAGTACGGCGCCTTTCTTAAGGATGTTCATCTTTACATCAAGAAACTGATTCGATCCTTTAGTTGCTTGGTTGGATTTGGTTTGTCTTACGGCATATCAACATCTCAATGGGTTATTTAATGCCGACAAGATTTTTATTGCTGGTAATATTTTTATAATTTAACATAATATTATTTTTGGTTTTAAGTCAAGTACGGCGCCTTTCTTAAGAATGTTCATCTTTACATCAAGAAACTGATTCGATCCTTTAGTTGTTTGGTTTGGTTTGTTTTACGGCATATCAACATCTCAATGGGTTATTTAATGCCGACAAGATTTTTATTGCTGGTAATATTTTTATAATTTAACATAATATTATTTTTGGTTTTAAGTCAAGTACGGCGCCTTTCTTAAGGATGTTCATCTTTACATCAAGAAACTGATTCGATCCTTTAGTTGTTTGGTTTGATTTGTTTTACGGCATATCAACATCTCAATGGATTATTTAATGCCGACAAAATTTTTAGTGCTGGTAATATTTTGTTTTGTCAAAAATCCATTTCTGGTATTTTTTTTTTTTTCAAAAATGTATTGCTGGTAATATTTTTTTTCTTTCAAAAACGTATCACCGGCAATGTTTTTTTTCAAAAATATATTGCTGGTAATAATTTTTTTCCTTCAAAAATTTGGTAATAATATTTTTACAAAGTATTTCTGGTATTAAAACCTATTTTTACACTTTCCTAAGGCTTTTTACCTCAATTTGGGGGTTAACTATTTGCCCACCGCTGGGACCCTTACAGGTGCTACCACCCCGGGTCAGGGTGGACCTGGGAACCCCAGCAATTAAGAGGTAGTTCCTCGCTCCTCAAAACCTCCTGATCAAAGACCTTACTGTTGGACGTAGTTTATCGTCTTACCCTGGACGCGGATGTAGTTTATCGTCATACCCAGGACGACTGAGGCAGATATGATTTTGATTTATTTTTTTAACGGCATATCAAACTTATGGATCATTTAATACTGAGATGTAATTTTCCTAGGGCCTTGGAAGTGATAAAAATATGTTATATGTTATTCTGCTTTCACATGTGAATACATGGTAGATGAATCTCAGCTATTGTGCGTATACATGTTTGTGTGTAGATAATTACTAGAGGTGGGTCTTTAATGTTTTGTTGAAGTTATATTATGAAATACAGTTTGATTTCTAAGAAATTATAGGACATTATGTGGATTAATATGAAAGAGATCTTTCATATTGGCTGGTTGTTTGGTTATGTTTAACCACATATCAGCCTCGACGGGTTATTTAATGCCAAATTCTAAGTATTTTGTGCAAAGTTTTATGGCTTAAACTAAACATATTTTGAATACAATTATATGATTTCGACTACAGATAAAATGTATTGTTAGCCATTTTGCTCTAAAATGGATTGTTGGTCATTTTGCTATAAAATCTATTGTAGGTATTTCTACTATAAAAATGTATTGTTGCTCATTTTGCGATAAAATGTATTGTAAGTATTTCTACTATAAAATGTATTGTAGCTATTTCTACTATAAAATGTATTGTTGCTCATTTTGCGATAAAATGTATTGTAGCTATTTCTACTATAAAATGTATTGTTGCTCATTTTGCTATAAAATGTATTGTAGGTATTTCTACACTAAAATGTATTGTTAGCCATTTTGTATTAAAATGTACTGTTGGTAATTCTTACTATAAATAGATACTGTTGGTAATTTTTTTATATAAATATATATTGCTGGTATTTTTTCCTATAAAATGTATTTTTATACTTTCATAGCGTTTTCCTTTTGGTTGGGGCGTCACTATTTGCCCAAAGCTGAAACCCTAACAGGTGCTACCACACCATGTGTCAGTGGACTTGGGAACAACAGCAATTAAGAGGTGTTTCTAAGCTCCTCAAAACCTCCAATCTCTCAGTCAGGGGTCTTTTTGCTGGATGTAGTTTGTCGCTATACCAAGGATTCCACTCAGTCAAAACAACACCTACCTTGGGCTAAGCAATAAGCAAAATAGTGAAGACAGAAAAAAAGGAAAGAAAAATTTATCAACAGATGTTATATGATGTAACCTCAGTACTTAGCTGTTACACGTATTTGCAAGACCATAAACCTTCCTGGGGCCGAGCCACAATCTTAAATATGCTCTGTTTACTAGCAGCGGCGG